CACAGCTGGACTGAGGGCTGCGACCTCAGCAGCCCACCTGGCTGGAGTGGACTGATGGGTGGTGACTGCAGGTGGGCGTGGTGGGAGGTGGTCATGGGGCTGCCCTGGAAGGTGCATCTTGCCTGTGGCCCCTTCCCCTCTGTCTCTGCTTCCTCGCTGCATGGAGGGGGCAGCTCCCCTCTGCTGGGCCCCTCCCCCATGATGTGCACCCTGGGACCAGAGCCCTGGACTGTGGACAGAGGCCTCTGAAGCTGTGAGCCCCAAATAAGCTTTCCCTCCTGTTTTTTTAGGGGGGTATTTTGGTCACGGTGAGGAAAAGCTGACTGAAATAGTGGGATGTCCAGTGTGACTGGGCTGTAGGCAGAGCACACCAGGGGGAGCAGATCCCCAGGTGGTGACATGGGAACTGGCTGCAGCCAGGCCTGGTCCTCTTCTTGCACACTGCGGAAACCCTTCTCATCACCCCTCCACGGGGAATGTCTGCAAAGGTGGCGTTCCCTTGGCCGATGCCAGGCAGCACTGCTGAGCGTGGGATGCAGTGCTGCAGGAAGTGCTCAACCTGGGGCCTGACACCGGCAGAGGGTCCGTGGCACCTTCTGGGTCTGTGACCTCTCCCCAGCACTCTGAGGCTCCCCCACCTATGGCTGGGCACTGCTGTGCCCTCCCACAGCCTCTCTGGGGTAGTGACCATCTCCTCACAGCAAGCACACCACCCAACTATTTAACCCCAGGTGGCAGGAAGACAGCTGCACGGGGTGGCCTCCACCTCAGACCCAGATCTTCAGATGGCCCTGGGGACACATCCTTATGCTTATTGAGGTTTTGGAGATGGAGGTCAAGACTGGCACCATGACAACTCAGGACAAGGCGGCTCAGGCCCCCAGAGTGCACACAGGCTGCAGAAGCAGCTGCCTGCAGAGACGGGCAGCATTGGGGTGTCCCTGCCCAGGACTCAGGGCTTGGCCCAGTGGCCCTCGTGGTGTCTACCTAGGGGGGGCTCAGCCCCCCTCACAGCTCAAGCATGCTGTGACATTTATAAATGTTATACGCAGGGAACAGAAACACATCCCAAATTAAACAAAACCCCAGAGAGGGCCCGCGTGGGCCCTGGGAAGGAGCGTCCTGACCCCATCCTCGTGGGCTCCTCGGCAGCTGTGCCTGGCAGCAGTTCAGATCCTTATCCAAGTGAACTTGTTTTTTAAGTACCTTTGTAACAATCCCAGAATGAATATTCACAGGGCAGTGACAAGAAGCAGACAACTGCAGCTTCCAGAGGACATGCTAGGGGCAGGCCCTGGGAGGGGAGACCCCAGGGGCCCGCCAGGCCAAGCAGGTGGGGAGCCAGGGCTAAAGATCAAGGGAGCCAGGGCCTGTGCCCTTCCCAGGGCCCTTTGGGAGGAGGCGGGAGGCCGAGGCCAAGTGCAGGGAGAAGCTGAGAACTTGGCGTCTGCTGGAGGGAGCCCAAGCTTCTGGGGCTGGTGATGAGGAGGCAGGGCCCTGCCAGGGTCTATCCCAGGTGACTTGGACAGGACAGCCCCAGGGGCCCCACACTTTTCCTTGGAGGAAGTCCCCTCCAAGGGGGCTTCAGTGAGCCCCAGGGAAGGAGGAGGGGCAGGGCTCCACCCAGCAGGGGGACCCTGGTGGCTCAAAGAGTATGTCCTTCAGGCTCTTGAAGCAGGAGTCCTCTGTCCCAAACCTGCTTTCCGTGCAGCTTCACCAAGTCTGCACAGATGAGCAGGTGACATCCCTAGCTCCACCTGGCAGAGGCCCTGGCCTGGCCCCACCCCCTCAGGAGCAACCGTGTGGGCTGACTGGGTTGAAGACGAAGGGGCTGCAGGTGTCCTGGACCCCAGACTCAGGGGAAGCTCTGCTTGGTGGGGAGGGAGAGGGAGGTGGGGGAACCTAGTAGGAAGGGAGGGTTGGGACGCAGAAAGGACCCTGCCAGGCGGGAAGAGGGGGATCAGGCACTCCCACCAGGGTTCTCCCGCACCCATGCCTGGCCTGCAGGGCTCCTCTGACACCCCTGCTGCATCTCCTGGGGGCAGTGGGGGCAGGGCTCACAGAGGTGGAAATGGGTCTCCGGGAACACTAGAGAGGAGCATGGAATGCTCACCTCCTCCCAGCACAGCTGGAGACACCTCCCACCTGTCCTGATGGGAGATGTGATTTGAGAAAATTCAGAGGCCAGTGGGAGAGTAGCCCTGGGCCTCAGGGCCTGCCTGCTTGGCCATGCGCTCACACTCTGTCCATGAGGTGGGCTGATTATGGCCCTCTCCCTGAAGTGGGTCTGGATGCCCTTCCTGGGGGCCACAGGGACCCTATCCCCTGTCTCAGGGGACATCCCAGGGGTGGTGTCTCAGGGGAAAGGATGGCTCTGTGTTGAGTGGGTAAAAGGACTTTCGCCTTGATTTTAGGGCTGAGGTTGTGACCTGTGCTGTCAAGCAGCTTCCTGAGAAAACCCCCTGTTAGGCTGAGCCTTCTGGACTCAGGGCAGCAGAGGCTCAGGCGGCGGGCAGCTGTGCACTCAGGGCGTCCTCCAGGACGGAGGCTGTAGGAGGTCTGCACGCTCTGATCAGGCTGGCTTCGATTTCCCCAGCGCCCCACAGGCCTCCCCTGCTCTGTGACCCCTGGTTACGTTTCAGCCCAGAGAGGGCCTGTGGTCCTCCCTGCTGCTCCTTCCCTTGCTCCTTCTTGGCACCCCAGGGCCAGGGTCCAGCTGGAGAGAGAGTGCAGAGGGCACTGGGCTGCAGTCCTGGTGGGCCTCCTAGGGGATGCATGAATCTGCTGGAAGAGACGGGGAGGTGTTGCAGGAGGCCTCGGGGGCCTGGGCACAGACCTGGAGGCAGAACCCCGTAAGGCTACTTGGGGTTCATGGGAGTAGATGGGTCTGCTGGGTGTGGGCCTGTTGGGGGAAGGGGAAGGGCAGGCAGGCTGGCCCCGCAGGCTGCAGCTTGGGGGCTCAGGCAGAGGGAGACGTGATGGGGCTTACCTGGCAGCCGCTTTGCTTGTGGGGGGGCAGCTGGGGAGATGCGTGTGAAGTCCACAGAGATGAGACTCCTGGGAGCTGAGGGCATTGCTGTGGCTTAGGAGACAGGATGGAGGGGACAGAGTGAGTGACCCCGGACAGGGAGTCTGTCACTGTGAGGGACCACCCGCAGTCCCTGGTACTTGGTACTGTATGTCCTTCTGAGCTGGGCCTGCCCCCAGTCCCAGTGGTGCTGTCCCATGTCCTTCCCTCCCTGAGCCACCTCCAAGTTCCTGGGAGTGCAGACACGAGAGTGACTGGGAAAGTGCGTAGTGACCGTGACCCTGAAGAGCTGGGACGACTCCTTGGGCTCTGACGGCTGCACCTCTGCAGGAGTCAGCAGCCTTCACTGCGATCGAATTCACATTTGCAGCAGATTTCTTAAAATGCAGCCAGAACTGGTCCCTGAGCCTTTGTCCCTGTGTCCTCCACCCTGTCCCTGCTGCGGGACCAACTCTTTAAACCAGCTTCCTTCTCCCTGGGAGTGGGAATCACCTGGGCAGAAAGCTCTCTGCAAGGGCGCAAGGGCCCCGTGGGTGAGAGACCTGGCAGCTCCCCTTTCTGGCTCTGCAGGGCCAGGCCTGGTGGGCAGGGGTTGGCCAGCCCTGATTGTCCCCAGGGCGATGGCAGTGATGGGGTGGGTGTGTCTGTGGGAGAGGCTCCCTTCCCACTCCAACAAGGCTCCCTCCAGTGACCCCCAAAGGCAGGAGACTCTACAGATCCCTCAGGACGCAGGGAAGTGGCCTGTCCCTCCCCACCCTGCCCCAGGGGCCTGGTAGACCCTTTTCCTCCAGCAGGTGTCTGCGTCCTCTGCTGAGGAGATGCTGCTGGAGGGGGAAGCTGGGCTGGGGTGGGGGCTTCCAAGCGCAGGGGTGACCCCAGAGCTCAGTCTATACCCCAGGGTGCTCCCTGTGTCCTGGCCCTCCGGGCCTCCATCCTGGATGCTCCATGGGAGCTGGGCTCATGGGCAGGGCAGTGCTGATCTGAAGCTTCTGAGTAGCCCAGGCGGAGGCTCCAGGGGTGCCAGGCAGGTGGAGCCTCAAAGGCCCCACATCGGCTGATGGGTGGGCCGTCTCTGTTCTGGACGGGATGGCCATTGCTGGAAACAGACTGCTCTCTGCAACACCATGGCAGTGAAATACCCCTTTCTTTACAAGCTGCCGGGGAGCTTCCCACCGCCTCTGAGGGAGGCGTGTGGGTGCGCGGTGCTGTGCGTGCTCAGTGGGGCCTGCAGCAAGCAGCCTCCCCGCGGGGTGGGCAGCAGGCTCCTCCAGCAGCAGGACAGGCATGCCTTGTGCCCACAGGCTTTCCACCCTTGGCTCTGCCCCGTGGGCCCTCCTCAGAGCTCCCTGGTCCCTCCCTGAGATGGCACATGCCTGCAGATGCGGGGCAATGGCACTGGGCCACACTCCTGTTGCAGGGACTCAGTGCTCCCTGGCCTCATGGAGGCTGTGAGAAGTCCTGCAGGCCAGGTCTGCCCTCCACGTGCTGGACACAGGTAGCCGTCACGGCAGCAGTTTCAGGAGCACCCTAGGGACCTACCACCCGGACAGAAGAGAAATGTCCAGCTGACCAGGGCCCAGAGCTGGGCAGAGCCTGGCAGGTCCTTGGCAGGGAGGATCATGGGGCTCCTGGATAGGACAGGCCCCTGTGTGCCAGCCTTCTCTCTGGGTGGCTCCAGCATCCGTGTCCACAGGCTCAGCTGCTGGAAGCAGGGTGAGGGTGTCCACTAGTTGCCCGGCTCTCCTGAGAGCAGGACAGCCCTCAGTCTGCCCCATCAGGATGATCAGCCCCTCCCTGCCCAGGGGTCTTTTCTGACCCTGGGCTGCTCTGCCCAGCTCCTGCCAGGGCTCCGGCTCTGCGCAGGCTGCAGGGTGGCCTGGAGATGTGGGCAGGGGGTGTGATGGTCCCACGGCCGCTGAGGCAAATGGCCACCCACCTAGTGACTTAAATACACAAATGGATTTGCTTACTGCTCTGGGAGTAGGAGTCCAACGCGAGGTGTCGGCAGGGCAATCCCTGGGGCTGCCGGGGAGGTCTGTGTCCTGCCTGCACAGCTGCTAGAGCCACTCCGTCCCTTGCTGGAGGCTCTCCTCCATCTTCAAAGCCAGCAGCATTGACCCTCCACTTCTCTTGGATTCTGCCTCCCTCTTAGAAGGACCTCAGTGACTTCAATACGCTGAGCTCTGGATAATCCAGGATGGTGCCCAGCTCAAGATGCTTCATTCCATCCCATAAGCAGAGTTCCTTTTGCCACAGAAGGCGACATAGGTGTAGGGTCTGGGGCCGGGACCTGGGCGTCCCTGGGGGCAGAGCATTGTCCTGTCCACCACATGGGGAATATGGCAGCACACGGGCTGCGAGTGTGAACTTGAAGCCTCTGCAGCTCTGTGGCTGACCTTGGGAAGGTCCCCAGGGAGGCAGCAGTGGAGCCCTTGCAGCCCTGCGTCCAGGGAGGGGGCAGTGGGGAGGGCTGGGCTGGACTCTGAGCTGGGCCTGGCTTTGCTTTCAATCGAGGTGCCATTCCCATTGCACTATCGGCCCCCTTCAACGCACAGCTCAGGGATGCTCAGCCCACTCCAGTGCTCTCTAGCACTGACGTTTTCCCTCACCCCAAAGGACACTGGTCCCACCCAGTGGCCCTCCTGGCCCCACCCCCGGCACCAGGCAGCCACTATTGCGTCCTGCTTTGGATGCCCTGCACTGGGCTTCTCAGGTCACTGTGCCCAGGTGACACTGTGTCCGGCTCTTTTCCTCAGCGCCACCACCTTTCCAGGTCCGCCCTGTGTGGCCTGTGCCAGGAGGGGCAGCTGGTGTGTGCGGCTCTCCAGGGCTGAGCGGCTCTTACCTGGAGCAGCTCCCTGGCTGTTTCCCGATGGCTCCGCCAGCTGGGGTCATCTGAGGTGTGGGGTATACGGAGGGCTCTGCACGGGGTCAGGCAGCAGACATGTGTAGTCAGGTGCAAAGGCCCTTGGGAGAGCTGAGAGGTGCCTACCCTGTGGGGTGCCCCCAGCACCCACGGCCACCTGAACTACGGAATGCTGAGGTTGAAGAAATCACCTGCTTCGTCTCCACGCTGTGCTGAGAGGTGAATGCTCGTGTGTCCCCAGGAGAGAATGTCAGGTGCAGTCTCTCTGATGAGGGGACCCTGCACCCATCCTGCTCCTCGTCCAGTTCGAGGACGGGCCCTTGTTGAGGTGTAAATCACTGGAGACAGCCCAAGAGCTTGCCGAATGGAGCCCTGAGGTTGTGGGGTCTTTGCCTCATTTTCCTGGGTGATGGGCTTCCCGAGGTGTCAGGTGCAGTAGCTGGAGCCCACAGATGCAGCCTTGGGAGGGTCCAGCACAACTTCTGCTGACGGGGACCCTTACCACTGTGGTTCTTGAAGTACCTTCCTGGTAGGGGTGACCCCGCCTGGGGCTGTACTGATCCTGTCCTGCCCCCCATGGGACCCCAGGATCACCCCTAGCCCCAGGGCTGGACACACCTGAACAGGTTCCAGCCAGAACCTCTGGCCCTGAGATGCATCGCCCTGGGCCTAGTTGTCCAGTGGCCAGTGGATCTATCAGCAGTTGATTGATGGAGTCCCTCATCCACTCATTTACTGAGTAGAAGTGACACTATCCTGAGGGACTGGGACAACGCTGTGGCCGTAGCCGAGCCCTGTCAGGAACTTGCCCACAGCTCAGCTCCTCACACAGGAGTGCCCAGCCCACCCTGCCTCCGTGAGGCAGCTCAGGCAGCCGACTCTGGGCTGGCCTGAGGCCTCCCTGCTGTGACACGGGGAGGACGGAGCTGACCAGGTGAGGTGACCTCAGGGGCAGGCTCCCCCAGCCGGTGCTGTGGGGCAGGAAATTGGAGCAGGTTCTGGGTGACAGAGGTCCCTCCCCTGCACCAGAACTTCCAGCAGAGGGGCCTGCAGACCCTTGGGCTGGCCACGCCTCACTACACACGCTGGACTGGTCCTGTCAGCAGTGCTGGAGGAAAGTGGCTGGACTGGATTGTGAGGAGGTGGACAGCAGGTGTTGGGAGTGGGTCCCACTGAGGACCCCTTCCCCACCCCCTCAGCAGGGCACAGGGATCACTCAGGCCACTCTGCTGGGACCAGAGTGAGGCCGAGCCCAGGTGGGGGTCCTTCCGTGGCACGGTGCCCCAGCCCAAGACCAAGCATGGGTGCACATGGGGCTCCTGCCTGGGGAGTCCCATGCAGCAAAGGAGACGCTCCTAGACGGGCAGCTGCTCCCCTGGCCCAGCTCTATAGCCACCCTCTGGGCACGGCTCAGCAGCCGGGGCCCACCCTCCTCTTGCCTGCACAGTGAGGTCCCCACCTGGGACAAGGTGCCCTGTGGCCCGGATGTAGGCATCCCCCTGGGGACACCAAGGGCATGCTTCCACTTACCCAGACTCCAGGGCCCCCTGGTCAGGTCGAGGGCAGCTGTCCTCCACATCCTGGGCATGGGGCTCCCTCCCCTGGCTCTCCAGGCTTCCCTCTGGCTACACTCAGTGGGTCCTGGGTGCAGGGCGACTCCAGGTCTGGGGACGGGACAGGGGGCGCAGAAAGAGGGGCCAATGCCCCAGCACTCTCCACATCTCTGGGCTCCTTGGCCCCACTCCAGGCCTGTAAGACCGCCCTGGACCCGCCCAAGCTTCCCCCAGCAGTTCCTTTTAGAAGGCCTCCCGCGTTTGTTCAACGGTGCGTGTCTCTCTCCCACCCCTACACGGGGGCCACTAGCACATGTGGCCATGAAACAAACATCACACCTAAGATAGGGGGGTTCAGGCTGCAGCTGCGCCAGCCTCTCAAACACCCGGCAGCCTCAGGTGCATGGCAGGGCAGGTAGGGCAGCACTGGTGTCCACCACGGGTGTCCTATGGAACAAGATGGGGATTGCTCACAACTCCTATATTCATTCCTGTGTTAACTCCCCTGCAGGTGTCCCCTGGGGACACCCAGGGCAGGTTCCAGGGTGGGGCCCAGGCCCTGGCTCACACTCTCCAGTGTCCTCTGTAAAGGGGGTGGTCTTGGCCCTCAGGGACTGAAGCAAGAGCACAGGTCTGCCTTCCCACCTGGCCCGCTCCCCCATGGAGGGGGTGACAGAATGTCCACTTCAGGGATGCCTCACAGCCCGGCAGACTCCTCACAGAAGCTTCTGGAACATGCAATTTCCCAGTGCTGCACATGCCTGCTGCTGTGATGGCGGTGTTCTGGGTAAATGATGCCCTGGTTTCTGGCTTTGTCCTCGACCCCGGGGACCTTGGGAACTGGCATCAGCCTTTCTGCTGGGAAGAGGAGGCCCCGTGTGAAACACTGGGCTATGTCCTTCACAGGGGCTGGAGCTGGCCTTGCTGCCACACTGGACCCCACCCCGGCTCAGCCAGATCAGGGACCCTCCTCCATGCCCTCACCCTCAGTGGCTGGGACAGGAGTGTCCAGCAGCTTAATAATGGCCACCATGTGGCTTTCCATCTCCTCTCTCCCCAGCCTCTGCAGACCCAGCCTGGGCAGCATCCTCACAGGGAGAGGACTATAAGCCCAGGAGGTGACCTGGGAGCACATCCTTGCCTCTGTGCCTGGGGACCTGACATGGTGCATGCGAATTCTTCACCATGTCCCCCCACGTTTGGTGCTGGTGTGCATGCTTGGAGCAGCCTGGGCCCTGTCCTGCCCCTGACTGGCCAGGACAGAGGAAATGCCCCTGAATCAGGGCAGGGTTTCAAGCAGCTTCTGGAACAAGGGCAGGCCTCTTGCTGCCCATGCTCTGCCTGGGTTTAAGGACCGAGGAGCTGGTTGCCCACCCGACCCCATGGGACTCCACACTTGGCCCTCTCCAGGCCTGGCCCTCAAGGACTGGTCCAGTCACTCTACTTCACAGTCTTGGGAGGTCCCCAGAGCGATGAGAAGATCTGTCTTGATGGGACACTAGGCCAACCCAGGCTGCTGGAATCTGGGTCCGGGCCACGCTCTGCACTTGCCCCTGAGGAAATTCAGGCGTGACCCAGGTTGGGGGGCTCCCAAGCATAACCAGCACCAAGAAATTGGGATCTCCCAGTCACATGACCTTGGTGGCAGGGCCTGGGGTGGGTGGCAGGTGAGTGGCCTGGCACGCTGTCCAGGGTGACCTGCAATTCTTATTACTTGGGATTGACTCAGGAGTCTTTGGAAACCTGGTCTGCTCTGTCACCACCAGATTCAGACCCCAATTCTGGGCAAAGAGGCAAAGCCCAGAAGACCCTGAGGACCCTGGGCCCAGCTCAGGAGGTCACAGCAGGAGGGAGGCTCCCCTCTTGGCTGGCACCCTGGAGCTGCAGGGATCTCCCAGGGCACCCGAGGAGTGGGCCGGCCCAGCCTGGGAGGCCACTGCCCACTGCTGAGGAGGTGCCTCTGCACTGGGCTGGGCTAAAAATAGCAGGGGGATCACAGGGCAGGGACAACCGGTGGGAGGCTACTCAGGGAGGGGCTGTGAGGGGGGCCGGGCAGCGGCCTGCGCCCAGGACCGCCACCGTCAATGGCGCTGGGGCTTCCACCCTGTTCCTGGCGGCCTGGCCAGCGGCGGCCCAGCTGACAGGCTATTTTTTCCCCTGCTTGACTAAATATGGTCAGGGAGCACAGCCCGAGGGGGCCACTTGGCCCGGCCGCGTGTTTGGGATGCTTGGCCGGGTATATAAGAGCTGCCAAGGTGAGGCCGCTCCTGACCGAGGGGCCCCCACGCGCACCCGCCTCGGGTCAGGCGCTCCCCTCCCCCGCCCGCGTGAGTCCCGGCGTGTGGGCCGTGTGCATGTGCGGAGCGCTCACCCGCAGGTCTTCCCTTTTGTTCCGCCCTGACCTCTACCTTGTGCCGCCCGACTGGGGGTGCAGGAGCGTCCTGCAGAAGCGCAAGGTGTGCGGGCTCTGCCTCTCCTCAACTCCGCATCAGTGCCCCTCTCTCCTCTTGCTCTCCTCTCCCTCCTTCTCTCCAAGATCTCCCTGCTGCTAAGTCTGCGCTGCTGCAGGAGGGCTGGGGGAAGGGCAGGGGTGCGGAGCCGGTTCCTGGTGTCTTCTTTCTCTCTCTGCCCCCCCCCCCAAGTGCGGACGCCTCGAGCTCCCGCCCGCCCCCACCCCTGCATTCACAGTTGGCTCCGGAGGAGGTGGCTGCCACTGCTGCTGCCGCAGCATCTCCCGGGAGCCGCGACCCTGCGCCCGCGCCTCCGCTGCTGCGGTCACCAGCCCAGCCCGAGGGGCGCCCTGGGCTCCCTGGTGAGTCCCCCTCGCCCGCCAGGTCAGCTACCAACCACTGGGACGGCCCCTGCAAACCCTGCAAACTTGCCGGTGCTGCGGTGGGGGTGTGCCCGCCGGCGAGGGGGTGCCCTGGGCGCGGCGCGCGTGGCTCGGGTGCCTGGAGTTTTCTCTCGCTCGCGGCATCCTCCACATTTGGGAAACTGCAGAGCCAGCAGCCGGCAGGGCCGGCGGGGCGCGTGCAGCTGGATGCAGGAACTCTCCCATGCGGGCTTCTTGCAAGGAAGCAGCCGCCTCGGAAGCTTGGCGTGCTTGGCAGCGGACAGGATGGTGGGGGTCGCCGAGGGGGCTCGCGGGGACTGGGAGTCACCATTAGCCTGTCGGGCTGCAACAAAGCCCCAGCATCTGGGCTTGTGGCTAAACTTACCTGTGAACTTGCAACAAGGACCACGGAGGTGCCGATGGGGACAGAGGGATCCCCCCGCAGGGCCCACAAAGCTGCCCTGGGTGGGAGCAGGAGTTTCAGCAGCTCTGCCAGCCCAGTCAGGGTGCCTGTGCCAGGTGATCCCCGCGAGGTGCACGTGTGGGTGGAGACTAGGGGGCTTGTGGGGGAGGGAGCAGCACTCTGGTCTGGGTCTGTGTGTCCGGCCAGGGAGTGTGACTTCCACATGGTCTCCCCTGGTGCTCCTGCTGGGGCTCCGGGAGGCAGTGTTTGCACTGAGGGGCCCTGGACAAGGCCTGGGCTGGGGACAGCAGCTCTGCCCACTGTGGGGTCTGCTTGGCGGCAGCCCATGCCGCTTTTCTATCAGAGTGGGAAACTTTTTGAGAAGTGACTGTGGTTCATCTGTGAATGGTGGCAGTTCACATGCACGCCTGCTGGGTCCAGTGGACTTTCCTGCCTTCTGGGTCCCCCTAACTTTCTGCCTGACTGTCTGGGAGGTGGGGGGAGCCAAGCCTCTGGGGAGGGCCAGGAGGTCACAGCCGGTTTCTCTTGTCCTCAGGGAGGCTGTCCAGGAGGCCCAGGCAGCAGTGTGGCCATGCCGGGGGCATCCACAGCAGTGGGGCTGGGGCTCAGGTCCAGGCTGCCCTCTCTCCTCCTGGGCCACATGGAGGTGGTAACTAACAGCAGCCACATGGAAAGGGGGCACCAGCTTCTCTCTTCCTCCAGGGGGCCTTTCCCTCTGTGGGTGCCTCTCAGTTCTCCACTCCCCCTTCCCCACAAAGAGCTCCAGCCTGCCCAGCCAGGCAGCAGCTGCCACAGCCCAGGAACCCAAGAAATGTGCTTGGCTGCCTCTGCACATTGCAGACTCTGCAGAGATGTGGCCCTGCCTGTGGCAGGAGAGTCTGGACACCCCTGGGTTGTTCTTCACAGAGACAAGCCTGGATGGGTCGTGCTGGATTGTCTTGCTGGTGAGGGACAGGTGGATTCATTTTGGGTCCTGGGGCTGCTCTCTGCTCCAGGCAGGGCCAGGGCCCAGCTGGACCCTTCTGCTCGGAAGAATCTCTGTTGGCACCAGCCTGGTCCACAGCAGCCAGCACGCCCTTGGCTTTCTCCCACCAAGTCACCTGCAGTGCACCTCACTCCAAGTCCTGAACCCTCACCTGTGGACTCACCTTGGCAAAGGGAGGGGGGCTGGGACTTCCTCCTCCTCCTCCTCCTCCTCCTCTTTTCTCTCCCAGGCTGGGTGGTGGCCCTTCCTGCCACTGGCACCTAGCTTTGAGGTCTCGTCAATCTCTGCAGGCTTTTCAGACTCCCAGCTCCACACGGTGTAGAAGTTCCCCTTCCTTCACAGAGAGTTCAAAATGCAATAGGAAAAATATTGATAAGATTAATATTCTGAAGGGCTTACCTCCCACTTGCCAAGTCACTTAAACCCTGTTCAGTTGGTTCATTGGGCACTGGTGAGCACCAGGGGCTTCAGGATGGGAAGGTGGCCTCTGTGTTTGGCTGTGAACTGGCCTTGACTGGGAGTTCATGGAGGCCGGGCAGCAGGCCACAAAGACCAGGTGGGGAGCAGGCCCTTTGGGGTGCCCTACTGCAGTGCTGACCCTGGATACCCACTTGGGCTGCTCACCATCATTTCAGGTGGGCCCTGCGGCATGGCAGGGACAGAGGTGACTGAGGTGGGTGACCACTGAGGAGTGATAAAGGGGATAGAAGGGACAGGGGACCGTGGAGGGAGCCTAGGAGAAGGTGGCCAGAGTGGAGATGCTCCCTCACTGGCTGGCATCTGCTCTGTGGGAGCCAGCCACGAGTGGGCTGCCTCTCAGAGCCCCAGCTACTTTCTGGAGACATGGAGTCCGTGCATGACCATCTTTCTCACTGTATCTTCAAAGAAAGAGGCGCCAACCCTCTCCTTTGGGACTCTCATTTTGGAAGTGAGAAGCCGCCAGGGACCTGCCGGCGGCCCAGGTAAGCCCCCTGGTTCACGGCAGGGGTCTCCTGGAGCTTCTTGTAGGTCCTCAGGGAGTGGAGTGTCCAGTCCTGGGAGAAAAAGGTGGCTGGTCCTTGGCACAGGGTGCCGGTTCCCGGTGGCCCGTGGGTGGAGCTGCTCTCAGGGTTCCGTCACTTTACCCTGTCCTCTCTGCCCTTGACAGGGACACAGGGGCTGGAAGGCGCTAGCTGAATGTGGCGCTGCCTCTGAACTTTGGGACACGAGTGGCACTTGCCTTCAGTGCCCGAGGGCAGGAACTCTGGTCTTGTTCTGCCATGTTCTGCCATGCGGATCTGGGCACCCGCTGGGGAAGGGCCAGGGTCCCTCACACTCCTGGCATGCACTATCTGCTTGTGCCCTTTGCTCCCGCGTGTGAGCACACATGCATGCGTGCGTGCACGTGTGTGTGGAGGAGTCACAGACAAGAGAGGGTTAAGGTCAGCAGGACAGTGGACACGAGTCATGGTGGAGAAGGGGCCCTGAGCCAGTCAGGAGGGCGCGAGGTGTGGTGTGGCTGGGCCCCTGCGTCTGCGCTGACCTCTCTGTGCGGCTCGGCCGTCCCTGTGCATGCTGGACTGCCTGCTTGGGAAACATACTTCTTTATATGCCCATATGGACCTGCTGAGCTATGGAATGTAAAGAAGTATGTATTTCAGGCAGGAACTCTCTCGCCAGACTGAGGGGTGGTCCGCCTACAGGGGCCGCCTGGGGTGGGGGGCGGCAGACAGGCTGTGGCGGGCGAGGCCGGGCAGGGCTGCCTGGCGACGGTCGGCCGTCCCTGCCGGCATTGTTCTGACACTTTGCCTGTGTCAGCAGGTGGAAGCGCTCATCAGACATTAAATATTCAGCGTGCTGACTGCGGCAGAGGGGAGGAGGCCTCTGGCAAGCGTGGGGTCTGGTGTGGGTCCAGTGAGGGCCAGGGGCACAGGGGCCATGGCTGGGGAACTGGGGTGGTGGTGGCTCTTGGTTCTCCATTACTGCCTACTTGAAAGGGGTCATTGGCCAGCAGGAAGGGCCGAATGTGGCCAGAGGCAGGGGACTGCGCAGATGCACGAGAGAAACTATGAACCTTGAAAGGGCGGAGGGTAGTGAGCTGCACCAAGGGGGCGAGAGGAGGGAGGAGGGAGAGATGCCTCCTGGCCAGGTCTGGGCCCCAGCGGCCCAGGGCAAAGCGGAGGAGAGCGGGTAGGGAGAGGGAGAGGCCCCTCACTCACAGGGCCTGTGGGGCCGCCTGCAGCCCCGGGCCCTACTCTGCCATGGGTGCCTTGGCCGCCCACGCTGACCAGACCCAGGGAACAAAGGGGCTGAGCCTATCCAGCCTCAAGCCCAGCAGCCACCCTGGCGGTCTGGCTCTACTCGAATTTGCCCAACCTCCCAGTGCCTTCTGCCACGCCTGCGCCGAGCTGAGGCCCGTGTCACTGCGCTCCCATTTCAACAAACCCCTCTGGATGCGCTTTCTTGTTGTGAGGGCTGCCAAGGCTTCTGCAGAAGGCCCCGCGTGTGACCCAGGACACTGCCCCTGCCCGTTGGGGGCTGAGTCCCCCCTGCTTCGCCACTGGCCAGTCTCTAACACGGAGAAGGGCTGGGCTGACGCTCTTTGGGTTCCAGGAGGTGAGGACAGGGTCTGAAGCCCTTTCCGCAGGTCCTTCTGGACTGGACCAAGGGCAGGGGTAATGGGGCAGTCCACAGGTGCGGGTGTGGGAGGGCAGTCTGCCCACTGTCGTTTCTGGATCTCAGCTGGAGGCCTTCTGCAGCCTGGCTGGGGCCACTGCCCATGCACAGGGCACCTGCTCCATGGGTCTGGGCTCTTCCCATGTGCATGTGTGTGCGTGAGACAGAGCATGAGTTGTTTCTGTCCCTAGCATGGCCACTGGCTGCCTGTGGCAGGTGCCCTGTCCCATCCTGTACTCTGATCTTTGGCAGGAATGTGATGAGGAGGGTCGAAGGCCCCTCTGCCAATCACCTTCAGTGTGGCATAAGGCCTGGGGGCAGCCAGGTCACTTGAGCCACTGAGGAGTCCAAGGGCCCCACACAGGGGGACCAGGGGCAGATCTGAACTCATGGGCAGCTCAGCCCTGGGAGTCTCAGGCTGGCTGCAACTGAGGGTCTTGGGGTCTTGGGTGGAGGGCCCTCTCTAATTTTCAGTCTTCCTCTGGAGGCTGTGTGTCCCAGGAACTCTGGCCCCCAACATGGTTGGCGCGGCCCTGGGAAGGTGGCACTGTCCTTGGGCACTGCCTCCACTGCAGCAGTCCAGAGGGTGCCGTGCCCAGCGCCCCTGGAAGGTCAGCTCCACCCTACTAGCTGCCAGGTCCGGCCACAGGGAGGGAAGTAGCCAGGCGAGCCGCCACCGAGGCCTGGGGCAGCCACAGGCATACCGCGTCTTCCACCAGATGCGTCTGTGGAACATTAGAGCTTCATTGCAGGATGTGGTGTTAAATAAAAGCATTAGCGTTTGGAATTAGGTTTTACTGAGCAGCGAAACTGGAGGGTGTGCAGGGAGAGGGCCCCGGCCTCCTCCCTGATAAATCAGCTCTGGTCTCTCCAGCTGCTGAATTAAAAATGAGCCTTCCCGGCACCTCCCGGCAGCCCAGGCCCCTCTCCCTGCAGGTGTCCAGTGTACTGCTTTCCTGGCCACTTTGGGATCCATGGGTGGAGTGTCCCGGGTGTGAGGTTCTGAGTGTTTCCACAGGGAGGGGACCGCACCAGCATGGCACGTGGGTGCCCAGGACTTTCTTGCACAGGGCCTTTGCTTGGGAAGCACGGTGGGTAGGTTGGGTGGGGCACAGATTTGCTGACTGTGCCCACCCAGCAGGGCTACCTGGGAGTGCCACCCCAGACATGCTGATAAGGTTGGGAACTCTAGGGGAGAAAGGAGCCTGGAGGTGCCAGTGGGAGCCAGAGGGGACCTGGGTGGAAGGGGGTGGCTTGGGCCCCGCTCTGAGCTTGTCGGAACAGGGCTACGCCTCGCAGGGCTCCTGGGGTTCCGGGGACACAGTTGGATGGCAGGCCTGAGCCCTGCCGGGAAGTGGTAGTAGCTCCAAGAGTCTTGGCTCCAAAGTGCAGGGGACCAAAGCCGGGAATGTGAAGCTCTTGTGGGCGAGGCCAGGGGAGCGGGAGGCGTGGGGAGGGGCGGCTGCTGTGGTGTGAGCC